AGGTTAACAGCTGATTTCCCATCAGAAACAACAAAGGTCAGAAACAGTGGGAGAACATAGTCAAAGTGCTGAAACAAAGATTCACCCAATCAAAAATTCTATATCTGGTAAAATGCCTTCATTTCTGAAAGATAAATTAATATAGTTCCAGATACTCAGAAACAGAGAGTTTGTCTCCAGCAGGCCTGCTCAACAAGAAATACTAAAGGGAGTCTTTCAGGATGAAATGAAAATTCATGCAATAGTCATTTGAATCAATTTGAAGAAATAAAAAGCACTGGTAAAAGTAATTATATATTTAAATATGGATGACAGTATACATTTATTTTTTGATTATAACTCCTTTTTTCTATCACATTTAAAAGATAGCTGCATAAAGAAATTATTATAAGTCTATGTTGATGGGTACAGAATGTATAAAGATATAATCTGTGATAATCTCAACACAAGGGAACTCTACAGAAGCAATATTTGTATATAAATTGAAATGAACTTGATATTAATCCAAAAAGATTGTTATAAATTGAGATATCAATGGCAATCCCCAAGGCAATAAGTTAAAAATATATATTAAATAAAGTAGGAAAATTAAAATGGTATGCTAGGAAGTATTTCACATAAGAGAAGGCAGTAATGAGAGAACACAGGATCAGAAAAGGCATATGATCTATGAAAAATAAATAGTAAAATGGCAAATTCTACTTTCTTAATTACATTAAATGTAAACAAATTAGAATTTCCGATTAAAAGAGATTGGAAGAATAAGTTTTTAAAAACATGATCCAACTACATGCTTTCTACAAGAGACTCACTTTAGATTCAAAGGCACAAATAGGTTGAAAGTAAAAGGACACACAAGATATACAATGAAACAGCAACAAGAGGTGAGCAGCAGTGGCGGCCATATTAATATCAGACCAAATAGACTCTGAGACACAAAATGCTACTACAGTCAAGGAACGGCACCTTATAATTAAGGCTCAACCCATCCAGAAGATATCACAATTATAAACATATTTGAACCTAGCAATTAAATCCCCAAAATACATGAAGCAACTGAGGTCTCTGAGAGGAACAGAGGAGAAGGCAGCTCTGTCCTAAATATCTGACCCTCATGACCCATTACAATGGTTAATATCCTACCACTGGGGCTCATTCCTTTGGGCTCAAGATTTGCCTCCCTTAGAGTTTTTGTTAAAGTATAAATATGGCTGCTGGTTTAAGCTCCTTTGGGGCAGTGACTGCTGGTGACAGAGATAAAGCGTTGAGCTGTGTTTGACAGAGTGTACAGATGTGGCCAGGACTGGGCCCGGGAGGAGAACAGGGAGGAGGGGAGTCTAAGAGCGGGTTGGGGTATTAAGACTCCACAAAGAGTACAGGATCGGGAGTTGGGTGTCACGGCGGAATAGAAAAGAGCCCACAGAGACTATGGAGGGAAACAAATGCCAGGCAGGAAGCAAAGCAAATGGGACGCTGGTTTGGCAATGAGGTTCTAGATTTGTCCGCTCAGGGCTGAGGGCTATGGCAGGCCCCAGAAAAAGCAGATGGCGTCAGAACAGGGGAGCCGGTGTGGGGCCAGGGATGGCAGTGGGCGCAGGTCATTTGCAGGCAAACACCCAGGAGCTGTGCTATGTCTGAGCTGCTGCCTGCATCCTGGGGAACCACGGGTGGGGAGGAGGAGTGGAGTGGAAGCTGAGACCAGGCAACAGGCACTGGAGGACATGGGCACTGATGGGGAAACCAGGAAACCCACAGGAACCAAGGACAGCAGCACCAAGGGGCAATGCCAGGTATAAGCCCAGAACGCAGGCAGACGGCTGGGCAAACAGACACCCACATGAGGTCGGGTCAGGAAAGTGCCCACTTCTGGGTAGGGGCTTAGTGAATGTCAGCTGTTTCTCAATATGAAACCGAAGCAAGGCAAGTGGCCTGGGCAGTAACTCAATGTTGACCGCAAAAACAGCCCCTACGTATCCACACCTAGTGTATGCTGGGCACTGCGCTACAGACGCTGCATAATTACCTCATTTAACATTAAAATGTCCCTATGAGGCGGACCCTGGAACCTTCATTCTGCAGATGGGATGTGGAACCTGGTGAAGTGACTCGCTCGAGGCCATGACAGCAATGTGAACGGGACAGAGTCGGGTGTCTCTGCCAGCCTCTGGGCCAGGGTGACAGCCTAGGGTAGCTCTGATCAACATGGTGGCTTCAAGGAATGGGAGTAGGAGCAGTTGAGAGCTAGGGATGAGAAACGTCTGAGTCCCTCTGAAGTCCCACTCTTTTTAAACTTAGGGCTGGGCCGGGCTAAGTGGCTCAGCCTGTAATCCCGCGCCTTTGGGAGGCTGAGGTGAGTGGATTGCCTGAGCCCGCGGGTTCGAGACCCGCCTGGCCAGTGAGACCTCATCTCTAAATAAATCAAAAAATCAGCCGGGTGTGGTAGTGCATGCCTGTAATTCCGGCTACTTGGAAGGCTGAGGTGGAAGGATTGTCGGAGCCCAGCGGGTCGAGGCTGCGGTGGCCGGGAGTGGCCACTGCACTCCAGTCTGGGTGACAGAGTGAGACGCTAACTCAAAAAAAAACAAAAACCAAAACAGGGCTGAAGAAGGGGCTGCCGGGGCCTGAAAACCCTTCCTGACCCTCTCTCTCTCTCTGCCTGGCCTTTTGGAGAATCATGGGGCTTTACCCCACAGGCCAGAAGGTCAGACACTAGAGTCACCCATTCTGCCCTAAACGCTGCAGGCTGTGTCTCTAGATGGACAAAAGCAGCCCCAGCCCGGGATCAGGTACTGCAGACAAAGGCATCTGTGGACTTAGGAAACCCTGGGGTGGCCTGCTTGTCCCAGAAATCCCCATTGCCCTCTCTGTCTTTCATCAGAAGCAGGAGAACTGGTTGACTTTCTCCGTGGGTATCTCTGCCTTCTGTTCTGCCCTTCACACACACACACACACACACACACACACACACACACACACACACACACACACAGAGAGAGAGAGAGAGAGAGAGAGAGAGAGAGAGAGAGAGAAATTGGAGGGCTACTTCTGGGTGACTCCGCATTCTCTTCCCTGCTACATCCTATGATTGAGACCACCACCCCTGCCCTTTCCTGGGTCTTCTCTTCTGCCTTGGACTGGGGCCTGGGGACAGCCTACATTGGAAAATGAATGTGCCATCACTTGCACCTTAGAAGGAAGAGCTGGAAGCACCGAGCAGCCCAACCCCTCATTTCACCGAGGGGGCAGGGTCAGGGTGGGGGCTGGCTTGCTCAAGGTCACGCAGCACCAGCCGGTGCCCAGTCCTCATGGCTGTTCGGCACCCTCCATGGGCTCTCTTGTCGTGCAAGAGCTCCAGAAGCCACAAGACACAAAAAGGATGTGGGTGCTTGCCAGTGACCGGAGAGGGCGAGCTCTCACTGTTTTAGGGGGCCGGGAGGAGGCTGAAGGAACACCCTTGGGACCTTGGGAACTCTGGCCAGTAGCCTCTCCCCTGTCTACTGGTCTTGCAGGGTTGTCTTCAACCATCTTCTTGGAGGCCTGTGGACGCTTTCCTTTTCTCTCCCTCTCTGCGTGCCCCTCTGGGGGTTGCGGACCACCCCTCTCCTGGGGGGCCTGGGTCTGCAACCCTAGAGTTGCAATTGGCAGCCGTCTCTGTGCTATTTTCCCCCAATTCCCACCCCAGGCAGCAATACCCTGGCAGCCGGCAGTGAGGCTGGAAGTGGCCGGGAACTCATCCCCCCCCACCCCCCAACCCCTACACCCTCTCTGCCCAGTCCCCAGCTGCAAGAATCCCACAGAGCTCATGTTGCCTCTCAGTCCAGTGTCGTGTGCTGTGGCAGTCCCAGAGGGTGCAGAAGCCAGCAGTTATACTCTGCTCACTTTTCAAACATCAGCAAAATGTCAACATCACAGTCACATTAAAAAAAACCCAAAAACCCAACAGTCTTCTGAAATAAAATAAAACAAAATGAAGTTGGTAACTATGGTCCTTGTGCGGGGCCCCATGCCTGCATGTCAATTTTCCCCATTAATCGTCATGCATGGATTTTTCGAAGAGCTATTTTGGGAACGTTTAGAAAGTGGCTTTTGTATAGCTATATATACCTTATTTATACCCTCCAGAAATGGTCGCTCTGTTTAGCAGCAGATGGCTTTTCTCCCCACTAGTTTTCTTTCCATCTCCCTGTCAAAGTGAAGTAGAAAGCAAGCCTACTCCCTAACCCCAGGCATCCATTGATCACCCACAGTCCACCTTGGAGGCAGGGCTGTAGGTGGGGGGGTGGGGAGAAAAGACCCTGGGATCCCCATAAAACGCCATTCCAGAGAACCCCAGGGGGCAAACACAGTGGGCGTGGATCTGCAGAGAGGGTGGGCTGGAATCTTGGGATGAGGGGAGGGCAG